AGGGGCGTCGAGCCCCCCCTTTGGAACTGCGCCCCGACCCTTCTCCACGACATTGCTTCCTCCGCACCCTCGCCCTCTATTGGCAGCTGTGCCATGCCCCTGACGCCCCCCCAGGGTCTGCAATCTCCGACTACCTCTTCCGTCCCACTGACCGGGGTCACCAACGCTTCGTGGAGCGTCCGTTTTCCAGCAGCGCGTTAGCCATGCGCGTGGGCAAACACCTGGAGGAGGCTGGTGTCTACGTCGGGCAAACCCCTCATGGGTTTCGTCGTGGTACTATCCAGGCCACGCAGGCCGCTGGCGCTTCCCGCGCGGAGCTCCACGCATTCTCCCAAATTCGCAGCGCCCAAGTCCTGGAGCGTTATACCGACGCCTCTCGGCCCACTCGAGTCCCTCGCGGCTCCGGTCCCAGATCCTAGCTTCCGCCTCCTGCTGGTGCTGCCCCTCTTGGCCCTGGCGCTCACATCGTGGCTCGTCTTCCTCCCCTCTCCCCACACATCGACGGGCGGGTGGGCGGGTTCTGACTTGCGCTTGCTTGCACGGTTGACTGGCGAACTAGCGTTGTCTGGATTCAGCGCTTTGTTCCCAGCTAATCTTTGTAACGCACTACCGTATCAGTCACTGTCAAACATGCATTCATTGATTCATTGTTCCATGATAGTGGGAGAGAGAGAGGATTGGCAGCCCATCTCAATTTTACGCAGTTCGCCAAAAATGCCGCAGGGCACAGCCCGCACATGAACACACAACACCGTCGCGATGATGAATCATCTCGCAACGGCCCCCGGGGCCTCCGCCCTTCAGTTTGCTCTTCCGCTTCGCAACAAAACGTCGCCGCCAGAATCTCCATCTCGTCCTCCACGCATTGCTTCCTTAAGCTTAATTGGATTCCCGCATATCACCTCACCACCACCACCCTAACACAGAACCAGTCGGGATACCGATGGAACACATCCTTAAGAGACCCGATCTGAGATCCTCCCCACAACGCGGTGCGGGGGAA